GAGAGAGAGAGAGAGAGAGAGAGAGAGAGAGAGAGAGATGATGATGATGATGTGAAGGCACGTACCTGGTCTTGGCGATGGTCTACTGGGTGAGAGAGAGAGAGAGAGAGAGAGAGAGAGAGAGAGAGATGATGATGATGATGTGAAGGCACGTACCTGGTCTTGGCGATGGTCTACTGGGTCGGCATCTTCATGTACTTTGGTTGTTGCTGCTGACGTCAACAGGTTGCATTGTCTATTCTTAGGCTGGGTAGTAGCTGTGTGATCGTAGTCTGGGTGCTGAGCGCCAAGTAGGAGAGGAAGGTCTCTGGATACATACTGTCATTGACATTTGGATTCGGTGCTTTGGTTCTCCGTTGGTGGAATATCAGTGCATATCTGCTTTCTGGACAGCCTTCGACTTTCTGGGTTTCAATGTGATTTTGCATCCTGGAATTATGTCATTTCACTATCGCGCATTTTCCGTGCATGTGTGTGTCTTGTATTGGTGTGAATCTCCTTTTTTTAATCGACGAATCATCAACTGAGACACGCTTTCTCGAGCTGCATTGCTGACAGTTGCCTCATCTTGATGATGTTGCATTGTACCAAAGACTTGTGATAACAAATTGCTGCTGCCTCATATTGCATTGCTGACAGAGCACTCTGTATGCGGGGTCACCCCTACCAGCTGTCAAGGTGTGCATGGGAAATGTCATCCTCAGAGGTGACCATTTTCTTCCTCTTGTTCACCTGCACCTGGCCCTGATGCCCCTGTTCAGCTGATATGGCGCACTATTTTCAAAACACCCGCCTGTACCTGGCCACAGCCTTTTTTTTTCCCATGTACCCGGCCGTACTGGAGCTTGTTCCCAACACCGGAAGAACCTGGTCACCCGTGCCGCCTGTACATGTGACCGATTTCTATCCACTCACACCAGCCTATACAAGCGCCCGCCCATACCCATACCCATCTGTACTGTGCACGCCTGTACTCATACCTGCCCATACTCGTATTAAGCTCTTCCCATACAGCTGGAACTTGGCGACTTCCAGCTACTCACCAAACCGGAGGACAAGAAGCGGCAAGTACCTTTCCATGTCCTATCTGAAGATACATTGCCATTTCATAGATTTGGTGAGCAGCGGAATGAGGTCTCGGCCGCCCGGATTCCGGCTCCAGTGAAACTCCAATTGTCGTTTGCAAAGCACCTGGCCAACCATTTCAATGGTAGAGGCTGGGCGGGGGAAAAAATCTTTGCTGAAGGCCGTGCTTGTCGTACCTAGTGTTTTTGTTTTTTTGTTTTTTTGCGTTGGGTTAGAGTCCAGGCAGCAGAGTTTGTTTTTACTGGCGCCTCTACCTGCCGTATTTTTTTTGGGGGGGGGATTGTCCCCTGGCCAGGCCAGATGGCAGTACCTGCCCGTACCTGCCCCTTCGCCCTTCGCCGCAACTGGACCCACTCATCACCCGGGGAATACCGCTGGGTGTGGGTGGGTAAAGCGACGACCGTCCACTGGCCACGTCTGGTCATCCTTATGCATTGACATGTCTTCCCTAATACTCTAAGGCAAACAGCGGGTCTCGCGTGATGGTCCCACGTGAGACCCGGTTTGCTGGCGGGGCAGTCCCGGCGGTCCCGCGCGGATGGTAGCAGGCCGATTTGTCGTTTCGTTGTTGTCGGCCCTATCGGAGGGGTGGGGGAATAGCTAGACTAGATACAACACCTGTTCCGCATGCCAGAGAGCAAAAGGTTGCCTGCTCTGCCCGTTGCCAGCGACAAGGAAGTGGGCAAGGGGGAACCGGTGGCACGTCGGTGTCGGGAAGTGCCCGCGTCGGAAGGCATGGCGAAACCCGACCCGTGAGTCTGTGCGGCAGGGGAAACAGGCAGGAGGACAAAGAAACTTCTTTTTTGCATGTTTTTGTCGGAGACAGACGGACTGGCTCAAAGTCGACACAACCGCGCACTGCACCACACACAACCACGCACTGCACCGCGTACAATGTGCGAAAGCAATCTCGAAATTAACCCTCGAAGCAAGCAAGGAGCATAGCAGCATAGAGAGTTAGCCACAGCTGGGCTATGGCTTCCACCTCAGCCCTCACTGCCAAATAAGAATGACGACCCGGGGCCAGGTCCCGCCCACTCATCGGAACTCTTCTCAAATTCTGACCGTTGATTCTGAGGATCTAACGACATTTAAGCGGGAGGAGGAGCGGGAGGAGCGGGAGGAGGGTTGAGAAAAGGAGCGGGAAAAGGAGGAGTGGGAGGAGGAGCAGGAGGAGGAGCGGGAGAAGGAGCGGGAGGGGAAACGGGAAGGGGCGGAGGAGCCGCGGGAGGAGGAGCGGGAGAAGGAGGAGCGGCAGGGGAAACGGGGAGGGGGTTAGGAGCGAGAGAAGGAGCATGTGAGGAAACGGGAAGGGGCGGAGGAGGAGCAGGAGGAGGGGGGTAGAAGGATCGGGAGGAGGAACGGGAGGGGGTTAACCAACACGCGGGAGGCGGAGGAGCGGGAGGAGATATAGGTGGAGGAGGAAAAGCGGGAGGAGCACGAGGAGGAGCGGGAGAAGGAGCGGGAGGAGGAACGAGGGAAAGAGTAGGAGAAGCAGCAAGGGAGCAGCACGAGGGGGAGCGGAAGAAGGAGATGGAGGAGGAGAGGGAGGAGGAGCAGGAGAAGGAGCCGGAGCGGGGCTGTGGCGGGATCTTTGTCACATTGTTTGGCGAAGCAGGAGCAGGAGGGGGAGGAGGAGGAGGAGGAGGAGGAGGAGGAGGAGGAGGACTGGGCGGAGCGGGAGAAGGAGCGGGAGGAGGACTGGGAGAAGGAGCGGGGAAGGAGCTATGGCACGGGAAGAGGAGCGGAAGAAGGAGGGGGAGGAGCAACGGGGGGAGGAGCAGGAGAAGCAGCGGGAGAAGGAGCAGGAGGAGTGGGAGGAGCAGCAAGAGGGGGAGCAGGAGGAGAGGGAGGAGAGGGAGAAGGAGAGGGAGGAGGAGCGGGAGAAGGAGCGGGAGCGGGACTATGGCGGGATCTTTGTCACGTTGTTTGGCGGAGGAGGAGCGGCAGGAGGAGGAGGAGTGGGAGGACCGGGAGAAGGGACGGGAGGAGGAGTGGGAGAAGGAGCGGGAGAAGGAGTGCGAGGGGAAACGGGAAGGGGCGGAGGAGGTGCGGGTGGAGGAGCGGGAGGAGGAGTGGGAGGAGGAGGGGCAGGGAAAACGGGGAGGCAGTTAGGAGCGGGACGAGCGCAAGGGGGAACGGGAACGGGCAGAGGAAGCGCTGGAGGAGGAGCGGGAGAAGCATTGATTGATTGATTGATTGATTTATTGATTGATCGATCCGAAAAAAAAAAAAAAAAAGATCGCCCCGTTCGCCTTTTTTGTTTTTGTTTTTCAATCAATCAAATCAACCACGTTCTAGCCGTAGATTCATTCAATTTTGCTCATCGTATGGATGGAAGTACCATCCCAGTATATCTCCATGTTCTGGCTGAAGATTCATTAGCAAAATGGGGTTGAATCTTCCCACGCGTACGCGTGTGTTTGTGTCACAGAGAGAGAGAGAGAGAGAGAGAGAGAGAGAGAGAGAGAGAGAGAGAGA